GGAGAAATCCTAAAAGCGATTAAAACGCGAAGTATGTTTTTACCTTCTCCAGCGTAGCACTAATCCAGATCGTCTCCTAAATCCCCCCTAAATCCCTTTATCCAAAAAAAAAACGTTTTTATATTTTGCTTTGATTGATTTTATGGATGCTCATTATATCGCAGCTATAAAATTTGCCTAAAAACCTCAGCGCAAGGCCTCCCTCACTAGCTAGCGAGAAGAGGTTTTTTTTTTCCTTCCATGAGCAATGCTGGCAAAAAAAAAAAAGCAGTCTGGAGCTCCCTCCCTCCAGCTTTTTTTTTTCCTTCTTCTTCTTGAAATTACCCTCATCAATTCAGCCACAATTTCAGCGCAGATGCTAGACATGGAGCCAGCGCTGAACGTGACCAGACCTCGCAGCCTCAGCCTGGGGAGAAGCTGCAGCCCGGCAGAGCTCAGACTGCGCCGCCGCCGGCTGACACGAGGGTCGGGGTGTCTACTCTCAGCCTGGGGGTCTGCGTGGAGCGAGGCCTCCCTCGAGACCGCCACATCTGGATCCTGCTCGGGGTCAAGGCGTCTTTCGCCTGGGGCCACATCTGAGCAGCCTAATTAAGGGGGACACCTTGTTTAGCTCTCCGCTCTTTCGATATGAACTTTATCTTTGCATTTTGAGTCTTAAATATGGTTACTTTTTTTTTTTGAGGGGTGCTGTTAAGAGAATAAACATAAATGGCGAAACTAAGGCAGGGCGATGCGAGAGCGCCCTAATGCAAATCGCAGCGGCGTACTGGCTTCAACTTACATCTTACAGAAACAAGGGGGTGGGCACGTAGTTCTTTCATTTATTAAACCGTGACAGAGCCTGACTTTTCTGCAGCAATTTGGAGTGAAAGAGCTTGTCGACTAGCTTCCCTTTCGCCGTATTTGCTCCAACAAAGAGGGCAAGGTAACTTTCACGAAGCAATTCCAACCAAAAGAAAAGAAAACAGATTTGGAGCCCTCACCTACAGGCAAAATGAAGAAGGCGCTCGTCGGTATTGAAAGGCCCTTCCAGCCCAGGGCCCGAGAGAGAGCCTGCAGGGCCGCTCTCACGCGTGGACAAGGTGGCGGGACAGCTCGGAGACAGCGGCAGGGCCACGTGCTCCGCGGACATCCCAGGCTTTGTCTCGGCGCTCCCAGCACCCCGCGGGTCCAAGCGTGACGCTGAACCCCCAGGCCGCGGCTTGCTAAAGGCACACAGCGCGACTGCCAACCGCGGTAGCTCCGGCCACACACCTCGAATCATTCCGACCCCCACCCTCCAGATCGCACAACCGGATAAAATCATTTCCCCCCTCTCTGAATTCCGTTATGACAAGAGGGCTGATTTCGCATTGCATTTTTTTTTTTGCTTTAGATTTCTTACCTCCGTGCAACGTCCTAGCACACCCCGACTTGAAAAATCGCGCGATTCTTTATCAATCGTGCCATTATAGCACAACCAACGCGTTATCGTCTTCTACGTTTTCCAGAGCTTCGCAAAGAAGCGGGCCCTGCGGACAATTTATCGATCAACCTTTCACCAATTATATGAAATCATTTGGGGGGGGGGGGGAGAGAAGTCGGGAAACGTTCTGGCTAGCGGAAATTAGTAACGCACTTAAAGCAGTAACTCTCAATTAAGCCCAAGGAAAGGAAATCAAAACGCCAACATTTTATTTTCCAAATAAGAACGGCTCTCCGACTAAGCACTTGCCAGTAACCTAATGAATGCAGCGGTAACAAACATTTTCGAAAGGCCAGTAAACAAATACAAGTTGGTTTACCGTAGAGAACCACAAAACATCTGGCTCGGCGCTGTAACTTGACAGCCAGACACGTCTGCCTACCAAGATCTACAGGAGGCCCGTCTCTCCTTCCCATTGGAAGAAGACACGACTGTGGGTGGAAACCAAACTCAGTATGGAATAGATTTTGGGTTGCAGTTTATAGTCACTCAACCACATACACACATAGCCACACACGAGAGCACTCACATACGTTACACAAAGAATCTACGAACTCACACCCCCTTTTTAAACAAAGCTGTCCTGAACAAAGTGTCCTGTCCGGGTAGTGATAAAAATTTCAATCAATCAATCAATGTGAATATCCACGTAATGTTTACACGATTTGTCCAAATTCTAATATGCGGTTTCCAAAGGGAACTTTTTGCTCAAATGATTGATTCAAATGTACAAGCTGGATAAAAAAAGGGGGCTTAAACGTGCTCAAGAAAGAGGTTTAGAAGTTCATTTTTCATGACGAAGTCTTTTCTTTAAGTCAGAAAATGTAACTTCCAGACTTTTGGTCAGATACGGAACGGTCTTTTGACATTCGGTGTTCGACCTGAGTCTCCCAGCAAAGCCCCTGTTTCTTCGAGTAAAGAGAAAGCCAAAAGTGAAAATATTGAGGGCGAAAAACCGAGACTGCTGCACACAAGTACAAACTGTCTGGCCCCTTGCTTGAGGCCATAATTAATTTGAGATTTATTTTTATTGGAGCGCTCCAGTCTCGCCTGACCTTACCTAAACACAACTGCAGCGAGACCGTGGACTCGCTTGAATGAAGAAGAATATTTCTTCAAAACGTGTCTTGAGGCGTGCCTGTTTCACATTTTTTGATTTACATTGGCGGACGTTTGCGTGCGCAGTGAGAAATACTATGGGCTTGCGTTCAGAAAAGCGGATCACACGTACTGTAGCTCTTAGCCGAAGACTCACTCGAAACTTTGTTATTGTACCCAACCTTGTAAAAAGCTCTTGCATCGTTTTAGCGTAAACCTTAAGCAATTGTTATTAAAGTACTAACTTTGTTGATTTAAGTGCGTAGTTCAAAAGACGTCTAGGGTCAATAGTCGCAAATACACGGGATCAATAAATGTTGTTACCATCCTAAGAAAAAGCGCATTAAGGGTGTCTTTTAAATCGCATTTCTGATTGTCTAACACACATTGCCCATGAAGGCGGCACATTTTTGTCTATAATACATTGTGTGATTTGCCAATATGGTGGAATTATTAAACATCTCAAAAAGAACAGAACTACTTAGTCCAAAGATACACTGTCGTGTCAGTCCAGGCGCTGCCGAACCTGTAGCGCACAGGAAGCCACTTTATAGCGAGAATTTTTTTAACCACTAACCTTAGTGAGTGCTTACTTATAGGCTAAAGTATTTAATGCCATGCTACATTTTATAATAACACATCATACATATTTTTTTTCTAACAGAAGACTGGACTCATTTTGATCAAATTGCGTTTTGGTCACTTTGTCTTCAAATGTGCAAGCCGAAAAGCATACGTTATAGACAGAGCAGATAAAAAATGAAATTGGGGATAAAATGTATATCCGGTCTGCTTATTGTCAATATATTTTCAGTGTGATAAAGATCGCCAAGACTTTAACTTGAACTACAAGTTGTCCAGGAGCCGCGAAGTAAGCCAATAAACTTCGCTTCCTCGACATAAGTTTCCTGAAAGCTCTGCTTTGTAGCCAGTAGGCTTGACTCCCCAAATTTTCTCGAAGTAAAAAAAAAAAGTTCAATTTCAAAGCATTTTTTCCTCTTCAAATGTTCCACAGCAGTAAAATGCCCCGCAGAACAAACCCAGAATTGTTCGTCGGGTGAACTCTGAAAACCGGCCTTTGTGCGGAACAACACAAACGTTATGACTCTATGAACAAAATCTCTCTGTCAGGGGCAATAGGTCCTCACAACACTCCTCATTTAAGGGGGGAAAAAGCTTTCAATATAAAAATATTATTGGAAACTTAGAGAGGAACAGTGGTGCATTATAAAGGCGCGGGCGACGTGCACACACTTCCTCACACTTCTTGTGGTTACGCCTTTGGTTTCACGACAGACCATAATACAGGAATACGAACTATAATCATAATTATTTGCCTTATTTGTAGTGATTTTTTAAAAACAAATCATTGCTCAAAAATATTAATTTGAACCCCCCTCTAATAATAAGATCACATTTCTATAATCCGCTCGGGTTAGTGGTCCAACGGATTACTTCGTTTTAAACTTCGACGTTCGTGCGCTGAAGCGTTTCAATATGAGTCTCAGGTGGATACCTGCTGCTCCAAATGCAACTTCGAGGCCACCCTATCTGCAAAACTAATTCGGATACGTTGCTTTACTGAAATTTAATTTTATCCGGACAAAGATACCACCGCATCTGGGTTTCATCTGAAATTGGCGTTTGAGATCTGTAAATCTGCTTCAGACAATAATAAGAAAAACAAACAAATCAATAAATTACCGGGGGCTCCGGACAACCACACACCCGAAACCCTCACAGACACATAAAACGAAGGAAAACTAGGTCTAAGCGTTCCGGATGAGATCCACTGTGTTCCATATGCGCCGATGGACTAAAACGTGTAAAGCAGATGTGCATGCCTTTCGGTTTGTTTACATTCTTCGAGACTGCGGCGGAGAAGGCAGAAACCGACGCGATGTCAAATATAATAAAAGTGTTAAAGCAAGCGGGGCGGCCGATGTGCTGGGGCCAAAGGGAATGAAATTGTCCCGACATCCGACAGACTGACAAAATTACATCCTAGAACACGGGACGCCTGGGGACCGAGAGACTCCCGCACCCCACCCCCTCCGCGACCAGCTACAGTACATCATCAACAGCAAGGACAGCAGGCGCGGCGGCAGGCAAACCAACGCTCACTGAGTCCCATCTTCCGCAGACGTGGACTCACTGGGAATAATAAAAACAATAATACAGGACATTCAACGTGTGGCGACACTCTGAAACACAGCGCTACCCCATGCGAAGCAGCACGGTGGCTTCATCGTGTACAGTAGTTGCACGCTAGTAAAGTTCACTGGGTGCATTTCAGATCGCAGATTCCGAATGCGAAATATGTGACCAGAAGGTTTTAATTCAAAGCCTCAATAACCGTGACTAATCACAAACAGCACGAGCGGGGGACAGAAGACAGAGAGAAGCCGCAGAGACCCCGTCCCCACCCCAACATTACCTGGTTCAAGGGGCCGAGTGGTCTTACCTTGACGTAAGACGCGGTGTCGGGCACTGTCTGAAACATTTTCAGGGAAAAACAAGGGCCTGAAAATGTCGAGGTCTGAGCACTTTTACAGGCCCTGCAAATACATAAAGAAATGGGAAGAAAAATACAGAATTCAGTGTCAAACGCTAAGATGTTCAGTGATTATTGGGGGAAAAGAGACAATCAGAATAGTAATACTAATAGGGAGCAAGTGTATGACAGCTGGTTATGTTCACACCCTACGGCTGACCCACAGAGGAGATTCCTGGCTGTTCCACATCCTGCCGGTCAGTGAGGTACAAGCGCTGGGGCGGGCGCTCAGGTGTGTCGTCCCAGCTCAGGTGACACCTTTCCCCGCTCGAAGCTACTGCAAATCTGAATCCCTCGGCTGCAGCAGATTCCGCACTGAGGAACACCTAGTTTTTACGCATTTGGACCGGATTACCCCGTTAGAATGTCACTAAACCTCTTTTGCTCCCGCTGCCTCCGTTGTCTCCGGGACCGTACTTCTTTTTCCACCTCCGTCTCACACCTTTACGACACCCCACGGTGAGGACGTTTTCTTCCCGCTATCCTGCCCTCCCTACAGCTCAAGCTCTCGCCGGATTCGGCTTTGTTTTGTTTTCTCCCGGCCGGCCAGTCGATTTCCTTCCTGGCCGGTCGCCTTATTTACAGCTTTAAAATCGTCTTTTTTCACTTGCCGACCTCATCCGCTCCCTCTGCGTCTTCGCGAGGGTCTCAGTCTCTGACTGCTCTCCGATCCGTTCAGACGTGATTAGCCGCTTCCTCCTTCGTGGGTAGTGTGACTTTTCATTTCGTTTCTCCGCCTTTAGGTTGCTAATATGGATTTCAATAAACTATCTTATACAACGCAATTATTGCAAGTTAATTTGGTGGAAAGGCACTGCGCGAAACGTGTCAAAACACGTCTGTGGTTTACGAGTACACAGAACGGGAGACCGGCGGTATACATTTTCAGTCACAGGTCTTTCCATTCAGTAGCCTACTGGGGTTTTTTTTTTTTAAATATACAATTTGGAATTATTGGAAAATACCGCAACTACCTCAACCTCTTTCGAGTTTGTTCTGTTCGGAACGACAAATTCCCCTTCACTGCGTAACGAGTCACAAACTCACTCGCTCTCCAAAAGACAAAAAAAAATCGTTTTTTTTATCAGTTGAAGGCGGGTGAAAATCACATTGGTCGAGGGGTGTGCAAAGCCAAGTCTCTCGTCTTGCGCATACACAAATAAGCAAAGAATCTGTTCAACCATGATACTATATATGCATTTGTATAGTGACCCCATAGTATCTGGGCATCTGTTCCGGATTCACTGAGCAATCAAAAAACTTCCTTCACCCTGTGCTACAGCAGCGCCTCAAATAATTTTTCGGGATTTCCAGACTACCTGTAGACTGTAGAGATGCTACATTTTTTTTATTTTTTTTTGGCTTTAGGGGAGCATATGAAAGTATTTTTTTATTCAGACTGTCGATATTTTCTATCGATACAACGCGGCTCTCCTGCGCAGTTAAATACTCTGGCATTTTTAAACCAGTAATTTCAAACGGACAAAACGTGTTAGTACATATATATATATGATTGTAGTATCACAAACGGTCGTCTCCGACTTTTTCAAAACAATGTGCTGCGGTGCTTTCTGAGAATACATTACGGATTAAATAAAAAGACTACTTCGGGGTTTTTTTTTGTAAAAAAAAATGGGGAGTGGGGTTCGACTGTTCCCTGCCCCCATCACGTTCTCGGAAAACTGGGAACATATTGAAGCACTTTTGCCTTTAATAAGAGTAGCTTACAAACTCCAGGGTGAAAGGCCACATTGAGGGCGGCGTCCCAGCCTCTGGCTCAGCCTACAATTACCAGGCTGGTACAGGGGGCATTTAGCATTCCTCGCACTCCAGAACGCCACCGAGTCGTCAGAGAGCGGGATTCTCCGGAGGAGCGCGCCGAAACGCGTTTCCCTACAATAAGACCGAGAACAGTGCATTCAACGACCCGTTAACGATTGCGCGTCTTGCAAGCCTTAAATGACAGGCTTCCACGAGATGGTTGTGGAGGGGTCTGAGTTGCAAAACTCGGGATGATCAAAAGGACGAAAAAAGTCCCGTAAAATGGTATGTTCGGCAATAGTATAATTGGAAGCTGCACTGACGTCAAAACAGGGACAGGGGAAACGGCGCTAAACACGTGCGTCCACGATATTGATGCGTCAAAACGTAATTTTACCTCTGAATTGTAACTCGCAATTAAAAACGTTATTCAAGTGAAAGTTTAATTCACGTGCCTCGGAGGCCTTAGTGTGACATTAGACGCCTCGCGTGGCTAGCGGTTAACTCCGGAGCAACACCTGGGCCAGGTGGTACTGAACGTGGGTATGACCACCGAGGCCGTACATAAACGAGTACGCAGGTCCCTGGAAATCACACGACCTAACGGGGGGAACGCGTCGTGGGAATGAACACGCAGTAGCGCTTTCTCGTCACGTGACCTTAAAGACACGCCAAAAGAGCCCACTCGAGTATACATACATACGGAAGGTAGCAAAATATCTGCAAAGGACTGCGATATTATAAGAATATTGTATGTCGTCACATAAGGTGCATGATATTAAATATCCACGGCACCCTCTGTGCCAAATTTAAAAACCGATTTTTCAATGGGATAATTTGAGACAACTTAAAAGTAAATTTCGAGGACACGAAATGATGCAATAATAATAATAACAACAATAATAAATAATATTAGTAATAAAAAATGGACTTCACATGCGATGAAAGCACTAAAATTAAACATTTTTATTATTCCAGCATTCTGCACTGCAGTTAGACTGATTCAAGCAACACGTTAGCCAGCAGATATCTTATTTAGAAACTGCCTGAGATGGGTTTTTTGTTGACAAACAAACGAAACCGGGGGTGTGTGTGCGACACTTTTCAGCAACTGTAAAAGCGCACAAAAGGAGAAACCAACGTCTTGAAAAATCTCACAACAGGACGTAGCGAATGATCACTGGACTCTATAAACGAACGGGCAATTGTCTGAACACTTCTTAAATGGCTCATTTAGCAATGTCATTGTTATTTTACTCACTTCTATCCTAAACATGCTCGGAAACGCTCGTTCTAATTGAAGTGAAAACTAAGAAATAAGACGCAAATATTAAATACAGGTATTCAGACTACACGTAAGACAGCAATAATAAATACCTTAGTTCCTTAATTCGAAAAAAAAGACTGTAAACAATACATACTGCAACTGATTCGAGTTTCAGTATTTCATTTTCTTTGGGAAGTGTGGATTTGAGCGACGTCTCACGTTCCTGCTGTACTGCCGAACGAATAATAGACAGTTAAGCGCATCAGAGCTCCTGTATTTGTCGGTACGACGTTCGGCCAAAACCTGGAAAACCTGAATGTTGCGCGGAACTAAGATGTAGCCCACAGGAGAGACAGACCATACAAAAATAACAGGTATCTCGAACACGAAGCAAGCTGGGAATATACGAATTCGTGAGCAGTGTGCGCGGAGTTAATACATTTCACTGGCCGCCGCGTTTTCAGTTGCTCAAGAGAAGAAGAAAAAACGGGAAAGGCTTTTCAGATATTTGACACCTTCCTTGCGGTTTCCACAATTACGTTTCCTTTAAAGCAGCAGGATTTATTTATCGTTCCTACGCTTCATACTGGGTGCCATGTGACGGCGAAAGGTCTTTCACCATCCACCGGAAAAGACCGTGTGTGTATGCTCTTTCTATACTCAAAATGTCACAAAACGCTCGCTTTTCCGCTTTTAATTCTTCTATGCAAATGTTGGGCTCGCCTCATAAAGTTTTCCGAATACATCCAATTCCTAAACGGTAAAGGAGCGTGCAATTTCCCATCTGTACTCAATTACAAGGGCTGAGGCTCAGGAGTACTGTTAAATAACTGCCTTGACTTTCCTCTGGGACAGCGCTCTAGGCTAGCCAGCCTCTAGTGTTACATTTTAAGCATCGTCCCTCGCACGGAAACCGTGCTGCTATCCATCATAAATTACAGCACGGCGCAATTTTTTACAGAATCATTCTTACACTTTTTTTCTTTCCTCTGCCAAAGATGTATTTTTTGGGTCGCACCGTACAGTCTGTCAAGAGTCACCGCAGCGCTCTCCAGACGAGCCCACAACTCGCTCAAACACTCTGTCAGCATCTTTCAGAAAAGCTCGTTAACTTTCCACGCCTGGAAGTGCACAGTCTATTTTTCTATATAATGCACGCCACAAGCTACTCGGGGAGGGGGGTTGGCTGTCTCCACCAGAGCACAGAACTTTCACAACTTTCTTAAAATGACCTTTTTAAAACAAACAAAACAAACAGACGCAGGACCCTGTGCTACGAGCGCAAAACCTGTCAGGACCTTTGCAACGGTGAATAGTCCCTGATCTACAGGCTCCCACCCCGCCGCCCCCACAAGACTCACCTCTCGTTAGTCTGCCCGCGGTTCCTTAAATTCTTCCCTTATTTCCGCAATGTCAAATATTGGTCCGGCCAGCGAAAGGTGCTTCCCATTAGCGGGCGGTTATTTGTAAAAGGCGAGCGCACGGAGCGCAGGGTGTTTGATTGGGAATGCCGGCGTGATGCGCTGGCCCCTGCCCGGCAGCCAATGAAAACGCAGGGACTGGCCCTCGCATCCCTGCCTACGAGGGAGTCCGAGCTGCAAAGTCTGCTGAACCGTGAAAGAGGGGAAATTTAGCAGAAATTGGAACAGCACCGTAAAAAAAGGGGGGAAACGTGAGGTCTTTTTTTTTTTACATCGGAAAGCAACTGACCTGTCCCCTAACTGCCCTCAATATAGCCTCTTACCGCCAGGAAACAAAGGGCAGAAGAGTTCGAGGGATTGTGGAAAGCGGTTTAAGAGCAGGAGCAACGCGCGTTACGCACCTGCTCTTTAATTGAGCGACTTTATACTGGATTGGAATACAAGCGAAGGACGTTGCTCTTATCCTTCTGTAGACGTACAGGCACCACCCCTCCATTTTTTGTTCCTTGCGGCGCGATGTTAAACTCACTAAGTATCCTTTTCCAAAGATATATATAGAACACGTCCACATTTGTATCACCTGCCTATCAAAGTAGCCTCCTTAAATGAATCTATATAACGCGTTCACGAGACGCGCAAGAGAATGTGTGTTTTGAAAGTTTTTTTTCGGTTTAATCATACATGGAGCAGATGTAAAAATCTTAAAGACGGGCGGGCAGTATTAGATGTCTGTTTTCGTGGGGGGGGGGGGTAGTTAAAACGCTATTTTTTTATTTCTTAATGCGAAGAAGAAGGATAGTTTTGCCTTACTCTCTACTCCTGCACAGTGACGTAAATGACTTATGCCATTAGGGTAAATGATGGACCCTCCTAGCCGAGTCTCCCACACTTTCTGGATCTCACTGATAGCTTAGACACACCGGTACTGCAAGAACGACCCACTGCAGAGCTCCTAAGTCACGACCGTAGGCTCTGGGGGCCGAGAAAAGAGCCGATTTGTAGTCTGTGAGTTGAGTTGGTGTCATTTTATCACCACACCCCGAGATCAGATAAAACGGGTACAGAAGGGTTCACGACCTGCTGCGTGAGACCGTTCCCTATAGGAAACTGAGCAGCAGGACCCCCTGCTTCGTGCCCTCGTGACGGCTACACGCGTCTCCAGTGAGCTGGCCTTTCCTGTTGCACTAACCCCCCCTCACTGGCTCTATTTCCTATAGTGTCCGTCTCCCCCGCACAGACCCCATTCCTGTTCCTGTCTTGCGGCCCTTTCATTCCCATTGAAGCCAGTTAACGTTCAGTGAGCGATTGCGCCGGCGCGTCTGCCCGAACCTGTCCTGCTCGCTGGGTTTTGTGCTGTTTCTCACATGATGCCTACAGACAGACAGTCAAAGACACTGTGCGGCGCGTTGTGCGCATTCGAAGGCCAAAGCCCACAAGAAGCTCAGAAACACCTCTACTAGTGCCGATTCTGTCAATTGTATCTGTTTACGGGGTTCATTAATGTTACTCGATTGCATCTGTAAACTAATAGGTTATATAGTTACTTCATCACACAAACGCAGCAGCAAATGAGATATGTACAAATAAGTTACGTTTTGGATACAAATATAGTTCATTCGATGGTCACAACAACAGATACTACTAAGAATAATAACACCCGAACAGGAAAAATGCAAACCTCATGCTCTTTTTGTGAATGAAGAATGAATGCCATTCTTGGCATGCGGTCACCAATATTACAGAAAGCAAAGTGCAAATCAAGCGGATCTCCTTCGTCTTTTCCTACAGTACGTGTGATCTTTTCATGTAAAAGTAGCGCGAGTCTAAAAAAAGAATAGACCTTCAGGCAGTCACGGACTCTAAAGAAAAGGAAAAGAAGCCGGTTAAAGCGCATTCCGACTTTTAACAGGCCGCTTATATCTGGATCTGTCTCAATGCGAATATGTTAATTGACACAATCAGTTCTCAACTTCACCAGAAAGATCACTGACGCAGAAAGTTGCATGTAGAAGGACTTAAATACTGTCTGTATCTTAAAGGAACCTCAACAGCCTCAACTTTGATTGAACAGGGCGTTATCGGGTTGCTAGCCATCACCAAATCAGAAAACTGAATTAAATCTACCCTGCACACGTGGACACGTAAGAATTACGATAAACTACACAACGACGCGTACAGTCCCCCCAAAGAGGGGGAATATCCGTCTGTTTTCTTCAGATGGAGTCAACTGGACTTTATGAAAATCGTGATACTGGGCACACGAGTACAACTGTGCGGACGAGGGAACGGAACCACTGCAGAAAATTCACGATCTCAAACCCTGCACCTCTCGCCAGTCCAAGACGCTGAAACGTCCCTATACTGTACGACGGGAAATCGCGAGTACCTTGGGCACAGTAGGACATTCCAGGCTTGACTAACCTTGCACATCGAACCGCCTCCTAGCGGGAAATCAGGAAAACAAAACTAAACGATATAGGAAGCAAGGGAAAGAACTAATGACCGGGAACCTGGCCTAAAGAAAATCCTCCCAGCTGACCTAGAAAATAACTTTTTTTTAAGGATATAAAATACGGAGAAAACGGTGACACAACTGTCATTTTACATCATCCCCGAAGGTTCAGCTATTTCCCAATGTAAGCAAGTCGTGTGGAATAAGGCCCACTGTGGGTTGAACTGTGATTCTGGGACACTGGTAAAGCACTAAGGGACCGCTGAACTTGGAACTTACCATGCAGAAACCAAACTGGAGGTATTGATTCATCCCATAGAAACATGACATAAAAGTTTACTAGCCACTTCACGTTGAAGAGATAGCAGAATAGGTCAAATGTGATAAAAAGAATGCATCAGGATCAGCACCGGTTCTCACACCTGCTCATCAACAAAGCCCATCAGAGAGATGGCAAAGCTGTACCTATCTAAAAGGCAGAACGAAAGAATTAAGTTCTTACATCGCAGGCAAGGGACTGACTTGAAAAGCTTTGTGAGAGTGTGATGGTCTCCAGGATTTTCACAGGAAAACGAACCTGCAATCGATAAAAAAAAGGTTAGTAGTTCAGGATAATAAATAACCTGGGAAACAGGCTTGAGTAGAATTATTTGATCTAATGGGATTCTCCGAAGAATCTTTTTGTCACAAGCCTCAATCATTCTGCTGTCATTCGGCAGTGTCCAAATATTTTCTTTTACGCCTGTATTGCATTTTCTTCCGGTTTCCTTTACATTTAAAGTGTTAATACAGCATGTTTTATTCTGCCTTTTGGGAATTTTAGCCAAAAAAAAAAATCCAAAAAATCTTTGTATTTAGAATTTCATTTCGAGACAGACATCTCTGATTACATCGACTGAAGTAATGAATCCCCTAACTCTGAGGCATAATTTTGTTATTTATTTGGTTTAAAGAAATTCCAAGAGAGATGATCTTGAGATGAAGATATCTCATTTTAAGTGTTTCCTTGGGGGGCAAAAAAATGCCCAGATATCCCTTAAGTTGTGGTGAAAAATGGAATTTCTACACACTAACATGGTGCTAGGAGGGAAAAAGCCTGTAAATCCAGAGTACAGGTAAGAAAGTCACAGAAATGTTAGAAAAGGCGTTTCCCTGAGTCAGAAGAGTTCTCTCCTGCAAAAATCCCAAATCCAGTGTAGAGGTACGACCTGTACCAACTACAAGAAAACTGGAGTTTGACCTGTTCTTAGAACACTGCCTGCCTTCATTTTATAATTAAGGCACAGTATAAAAACAGAATAGCACATTCTGACTGTGGTCATTATTGCTATGAATGTAGAAGCAGGTTCCTTCCATATTGTCAGCTTATAGAAAATGAAGTCAGTTAAACTCATCCAAAGTTTTTCCCACTTCCCTTGTCTAAGAGGTAGTGGGGGTATATACAGATTGCTAGACCTGTAAAAAGAGTGTAATTCTACGAAGAGTTTTGAAATAAGGCAATGAAAAAGGACTTCTCCCGCACTTGTATTGAAGCTGCAGAACTGGGCGTTCAGGTCTTTGTGAACCTCGGCCCTGGAGGTCCTCTGTCAGGATGAGGTGGGGAAGGGTTGTCTCTTCACAACCCCTGCTCCCCTAGCACCAAGCCACCCGGGTCTCTGGCACAGCTGGGCACCCCTGCAGCCGGGCCAGAGACGACAGGGCCAGGATTAACGAGTGGCTGTCTTGCCCACTGTGTGTGGTCGGCAAGACCCTGGAGCAGGTCATGAGGAGAAACCTCCCTGCAGCTCTGACACAGAAGACCTCGTCCTCGTCTGCCTGTCCCGCAGCTTACACAGGTCCTACAGGTTAAAAAACAGAAAAACAGAGCCATCATATGTACCAATAATTATGGGGGGAAAAAAAACGTTTTTATTTCAAATACAGAGGCGCTTCCTAGGAAACAACATCAGGGGAAATTATATTTAAAATGCTAAACACAACACAGGGCCTTAAGTCACTCTACAACTTAAAACAACATAATGAAATAAATACGCTGCAGACTATTTTTTTCCCTAATAAAAAGTATTATTCCCTGAAAGACAGTGCAGCTTTTGGTTTTCTGTGCCCCTTTATTCACAGGCATTTTCTTTGAGGCCCCTGTCCCCCAGACACGTCTGACAAGCTGAACTCAGTGTGGGCTGCTTACCAGACTACTAAATTCATTCATCTGTGCCTTCTGACGGTCAAATCTGGCTTTAATAAAGGAAACTGCGTTGATATGGCTTTCCAATGTGTGCAACGCTCATTTTCCTTCACTAGGGGGCAGTCTGCCACAGGCTACTCGCTCGTCTGACAACGTGAACAAAAGGCAGCCTCTTGCTTCTTTCATCAACCAACTTCAACTGGAGACTGATCGCTTAGATTGTCTTGACAAATGAGCAAGGGTCTTTAAAACCGTTTGCTAACAAACGTACAAAATCTGTCTCCCTGTATACATCATTATACCACTAAAGCCGACTTCTGTTTTCACTTTCAAGGCAGATTTCAGTATAACCCAAACCTCTGGACCTTATCAGAGCTTCCAGCTTTTTCTCAGCCTGTGCATTCCTAGATTGTAACACTCTTATCACCTTGCAGCATGATGATGTGGTGGTTAGCACAGACGTCTCACAGCCCTTGGGTCTGATGTTTGATATTTGCCGAGAGCACCGTCTGTGTGGAGTGTGCACGATCTCTACAGATTGGAGTGGGCTTTTTTTTTTCCCATGTGGATTGGGGGAGTGCCACGACCCTCACCAGGAAAAAGAGACTTTCTGATAATGGATGGATGAAAAACATCATCTTACCTCTGCCTACATGGACTTGGGGCGGAGCTGTGGCTCTGTGGCTAAGGATCTGCGCCTGTGGCTGGAAGGTTGCCAGTTCAAATCCCGCAGCCGGCAGAGGAATCCTACTCCATTGGGGCCCTGAGCAAGGCCCTTAACCCCAGCTGCTCCAGGGGCACTGTATAAATGGCTGACCCTGCGCTCTGACCCCAAGCTTCTCTCCCTGTCTGTGTGTCTCATGGAGAGTAAGCTGGGGTATGCGAAAAGACAAATTCCTAATGCAAGAAATTGTATATGGCCAATAAAGTGATCTTATCTTACCTAATTGTGTCCTCCCTACTGCCACACAATACAGAGGATCAATTAAGGTGTTGTTCTTACTGCAGTGAAAGGTGAACAGTCCACTACAGTAAATCCCTGCTGCAAAGAAGGAAATCAGAATAATAACTTCATTTTCATTATTTCCCCCAGTTTGTCCAGTTTGAGCTTTGCAGACAATAAATAATTTCTCGACACAGCTACAGGAAGTGCAAATAAAAAGTGTGATTTGTTCCTCAAGTCATTTGAAGTGTTGTTACCTAGACATCACAGCAATTCCCCTGCAAGCAGTCAGAATTTACTTCACAATAAGATTCTGTGGTTTGGCCCCATAGTTTCCAGTCAGTTCCGTTTGCATTGATCAAAAAATACAAATAAATCACATCTGTCACAGGTTTCTCACCAATTTTATAAAGGCTGGGAAGTCAGATGAACAGAACTTACATATAAAGCCTGATTCCTTGCAATGATAAGCATTAGGCCAAATGAAACACAATTGTTTCATACACTCATATGTAGACATTTGATAGCGACTGCAAATTCACCATTCACAGCTAGAATAATCTCAACTATGATGCCTGCCAGCAAAAAAAAAAAAAAGTATCAGGGAATACAGCAAAGCCAAGCAGAGTGAGTGGTGTGTTACACATGTTATAGCAAAGAGAAACGATGGCCAGAACTATTGTCTTCAAAACACTGGAGTGAAATAAAAATAGATGCAACATTACAAGAAGATGCATCCTTCAAATAAAAAAAGAGAACCCCAGACTTCAAAGCACAGACAGGCAGGGAGGCAGCCCAGGAGGGAGTCTGCGTGTGCGACTGAGAGGGCACTGCCCCGCACGCCAAGACAAAACCACAGCATTCTTCCTGTCTTAAAGCGGCAGTGCGGCCCCAGCGCAGTCCGGACACAAAACTACAAGTGCTCAACACCGCATTCGCAGTTGACCGCCCCACACGAATGTGATTATTTGGTGAAATTTAGGTGGTATGTCACAGCCGGGAGTTAGAACAGAAGAATGGTTGCAAACAAGAGGGGGGCCCCTTGAACTGCTTCAACCACAGGGCTGCTGGCCTGTTCCACACCCCCACCACCCTTTGTGTAAAGAAGTGCCTCCCGTGGCACTGTGGTATCCACAACGCTGCTTTTTCCACTCACAGGAGATTGAACGTGGGTTCTAGACGTCAACCCAATCGCCCCGACAATTCTGGGACTATTCTGGTGGAAGCTGCCCAAGAAAATAGTTCCTCATTTTGTGTAACTTGGTTGGATCCCTGCAGGTGAAAGGTCAGACGAAGAAACACCAACACGTAGCCAAGATTGATTCTAAAGGAGGAACATAAAAGTTCTCAGACAGAAGGAAGACATCTGCCCTGTCTTCGGTATTTGGTTGCTGATGGCAAATGAATACCCAAATTCTTATCTTCAAGGATGCAAGAGGATCGCCTTCAGCAGATCGGTGGAGCGCTTTGTTCCAGACTCTCACAACTCTTAGTGTAAACAGACTGCCTACTAATGCATACCCAAATGTATACCTGCTTCTTAATTTTCCCACAAATCGGGATGTAGAATTATGACAAATGAATTAGAATTTATACTCAAAATATACGACAAGAAAACTAAAATGCTCTCAAATGTAAAAGTTTGATTGCGCTATTGTTATTTTGTGGCATACTGACTTTACCTGTTAAGGTGTTTCCAGAGGCAGACATGCAGCAAGCTCTTTCTTCTGTGTGGGTTAAGTAAAGCCCTCAGTTCTTCCCAAACAGTTTCTCCATTTTCTGTTGATAGGGGGCACCGTTGAGCTAAGAAACTAGCCACAGACAAGACTGTAAAAATATCAATAATGGAACAATCTGTGGTAGTGGGAGCAATAGCAAAGTACTTACATTTTTAGTAACAGTGTTTAATATATCACTCTACAGTCCTCACCCAATAGAAGAATCGTCTCATGTGAGTTAATACACAGTGTAAACCAAGGAGCACAGAAATATTGGTAACAAATCAACAGTAGAATGTTTGGCTCCTGATCTCATCAGTTGTATGGTGCTGCTTTTTCTCCCAGAATATCTATGGAGGAACTCCATTAACTAAAAGCATCTCATATAAGTTTTCCCAGTGCCAAAAGCATGCATGATTTATTCTAAAATATGAGCCCTACTGAATTTTACCCTGGGAGTTTCAAAGGACAGTTCAGTTGTACTTTGCAAAATACAACTGAATTTGAAGTACAGCAAATCAGCACACAGCTCCCTCAGCTCACAATATGTTCAGAAAACTGAAACAAGAATGTACTGTATCGCTGTTTACCGATGGATATTTGATTAATAAACAGCTAGCAGAGGGGGCAACATGACCTTTTAGCTAAAGCGACTTGATCACAGATGTGTAATGTAGGCCTACAGGCAAACGGGACAGGATCTGTCAAATTCATGAAGTCTCTTATAACCCACGACCCACTGACTTCACAGCCCATGGACATATTTTCACGCGTCCTTGTCCAATTACAGTGCTCAAACAAATGATTTTAAGTTCCCATGAAAGCTGGGCTGTGCACTGATGACTTCCCAATGTCCTGGACCACACTCTGCCCACACAGTAGTTAAGCGAAGTGGTGTCAAGTTATACTTTGTTTTCTGCTGCAAAAAAAAAAATCAGATCTTTTCTGATGCTTCTGCGACTACTCAAGTGTCATCCATCAAATTGTCAGAGTTAAACTCTCTGGGAGACCCATGTCTGACATGAAAGGAGACTTTCAGCAGCTCTTACCACTGCCTGGTTCCAGCACAGTATCTGCTTGTCTTGCTGAGATCCATAACATTGAAGTCTGTTTGTACGCTGTGTGCTGTATGGGTTTCACGTGAGCTTCTCCTTTTCTGATGACAGCCTCGCTAAAATACATTAAATAGAATTGTGTAAAATAGGAGTCTGAACATCTTTTTAGAAGAATTTGTTCCCTCCATCCATGTGCAACAACGGCTACCTTAGTCCAATGAACACCAGGCAGAACATACCCTAGACAGCATGACAATCCATCGCAACTCACACACATTTGTGCATACAGGGGACAATCTAGAGATGCAAATAACCTAGACAGCATGTGTTTAGACTGTAAGAGGACTTCAGAGCATCTGATGAAAGCCACGCAGAGAACATGCAAGCTCCGCACAGAAGGTGCTCTATACCAGGATTTAACCCAGGACCTGTGAACTGTGAGACAGCGATCCCACTGCCCCAGGATTCATTGAGGACACCACCATATTGCAACAGACGTCATCACAATCCTTCATAAATGTAGCCCATATACTGGACAAGTCTGTCACAATCTTCCTTATTTTTCTGCGCAGTTTTGAGTAATTGTGGTCAAAGCATTAATTCAAAACTGGGACAATATCAAATTGGTGGCAAAAGCAACTTAGTCTCCTTAGTAAAGAGCATGGGCATGCTATTTTTACACCTGCTTTTGAACGAATTAGGAAGCAACAGGGAAGTTATAAACTGACATGTGAATCTGTCAAGCCTGCTAAATCAAGGGTC